TACATTTGCTCACAGAATTTCATTTCAATATAAACTGTCGTTCTCCTTTTGGAGCATCCGCGTCGTATGAGAGGGATAGGAACTTTTTGTTTTTATTTATCTCTATAATCATCACTGTGTCTTTGATATTACTAGCCCCTTTTTTTAAATACTGAATCTTAGAATTTAAAATTTTACATTTTTGAACCAATAAAAAAACTCTTCTCCTTATCACCAGAGAAAAAATACCCTTTTTAAAGCACTCTAAAATCCATTTTCCGCCTTATCTCGCGCAAAAAACACCCAGACTCGCATCCGAACCCTATCAATCTCGGCATTCCACCTGGTTATACGACTTAAGTGCTTTACCTTGTCTTCGGCGAGCCTTATCGTCTGGCTTCCACGAAGCGGGGCTCCGCTTTATCTGGGGACACCACCAAGTGCGTACCTGGCCGCAGTGGGTCCAATTAGGCCGAACCAGAGATGGTTCCGTGGTACGGGGAGAGATACTGGTGGTATCTTGGTGGTTTTAGCGTTATCTCAAGGCGAAGGAATGGAGTTTTGAAAGGTTTTTGGTCGGGATGATTTAAAATAATTAGGAGAATCAACATGGGAAAGTATAAAAAATGTTCATTCGGAGCCTGCGAATTAGTAGTTTCTATTAGCGTTGAAGTTTGTTCCTATAATTTCAATGTAATCGTTCAGAACGTTAAAAATTAGTGGTAGGAATTTTCAGTTAGTAGAAAAAAGCTCCATTCACAACCTCGCAATTTGGTTTCAATTACACTTTATACTTATAGATACACATATCAGAATAAAAATGCCCCGAAGAAAAGTAATAGAAACAATTTTACAAGACCTGGTGCATCAGTTTCGTATACTATAAAGAAAATTAGAGATAGAACTCAATAAAAACGACTTTTAGCAAAAAACGACCTGTGCTTCTTGTTAATTAACATCAAATAAACAAATTAGAATAAAAATGCCCCGAAGAAAAGTAATAGAAACAATTTTACAAGACCTGGTGCATCAGTTTCGTATACTATAAAGAAAATTAGAGATAGAACTCAATAAAAACGACTTTTAGCAAAAAACGGCATGCGTTTCTTGTTAATTAACATCAAATAAACAAATTAGAATAAAAATGCCCCGAAGAAAAGTAATAGAAACAATTTTACAAGACCTGGTGCATCAGCTTCGTATACTATAAAGAAAATTAGAGATAAAACTCAATAAAACCACTTTTAGCAAAAAAAAAAAAACGGCATGCGTTTCTTGTTAATTAACATCAAATAAACAAATTAGAATAAAAATGCCCCGAAGAAAAGTAATAGAAACAATTTTACAAGACCTGGTGCATCAGCTTCGTATACTATAAAGAAAATTAGAGATAAAACTCAATAAAAACCACTTTTAGCAAAAAACGGCATGCGTTTCTTGATAATTAACATCAAATAAACAAATTAGAATAAAAATGCCCCGAAGAAAAGTAATAGAAACAATTTTACAAGACCTGGTGCATCAGCTTCGTATACTATAAAGAAAATTAGAGTTAAAACTCAATAAAAACCACTTTTAGCAAAAAACGGCATGCGTTTCTTGATAATTAACATCAAATAAACAAATTAGAATAAAAATGCCCCGAAGAAAAGTAATAGAAACAATTTTACAAGACCTGGTGCATCAGCTTCGTATACTATAAAGAAAATTAGAGATAAAACTCAATAAAAACCACTCTTAGCAAAAAACAACAAGTGTTTCTTAATAATTAACATCAGATAAACAAATTAGAATAAAAATGCCCCGAAGAAAAGTAATAGAAACAATTTTACAAGACCTGGAGCATCAGTTTCGTATACTATAAAGAAAATTAAAGATAAAACTCAATAAAAACCACTTTTAGCAAAAAACAACATGTGTTTCTTGATAATTCTCATCAGATAAACAAATTAGAATAAAAATGCCCGAAGAAAAGTAATAGAAACAATTTTACAACACCTGGAGCATCAGTTTCGTACACTATAAAGAAAATTAAAGATAAAACTCAATAAAAACCACTTTTAGCAAAAAAGACATGTGTTTCTTGACAATTACCATCAATTAAACATATTAGAATCGAAATGCCCCGAATAAAAGTAATAGAAACAATTTTACAAGACCTGGTGCATCAGCTTCGTATACTATAAAGAAAATTAAAGATAAAACTCAATAAAAACCACTTTTAGCAAAAAACAACATGTGTTTCTTGATAATTAACATCAAATAAACAAATTAGAATAAAATGCCCCGAAGAAAAGTAATAGAAACAATTTTACAAGACCTGGTGCATCAGCTTCGTATACTATAAAGAAAATTAGAGATAAAACTCAATAAAACCACTTTTAGCAAAAAACGGCATGCGTTTCTTGATAGTTAACATCAAATAAACAAATTAGAATAAAAATGCCCCGAAGAAAAGTAATAGAAACAATTTTACAAGACCTGGTTCATCAGCTTCGTATACTATAAAGAAAATTAGAGATAAAACTCAATAAAAACCACTTTTAGCAAAAACGGCATGCGTTTCTTGATAATTAACATCAAATAAACAAATTAGAATAAAATGCCCCGAAGAAAAGTAATAGAAACAATTTTACAAGACCTGGTGCATCAGCTTCGTATACTATAAAGAAAATTAGAGATAAAACTCAATAAAAACCACTTTTAGCAAAAAACGGCATGCGTTTCTTGATAATTAACATCAAATAAACAAATTAGAATAAAAATGCCACGAAGAAAAGTAATAGAAACAATTTTACAAGACCTGGTGCATCAGCTTCGTATACTATAAAGAAAATTAGAGATAAAACTCAATAAAAACCACTTTTAGCAAAAAACGGCATGCGTTTCTTGATAATTAACATCAAATAAACAAATTAGAATAAAATGCCCCGAAGAAAAGTAATAGAAACAATTTTACAAGACCTGGTGCATCAGCTTCGTATACTATAAAGAAAATTAGAGATAAAACTCAATAAAAACACTTTTAGCAAAAAACGGCATGCGTTTCTTGATAATTAACATCAAATAAACAAATTAGAATAAAAATGCCCCGAAGAAAAGTAATAGAAACAATTTTACAAAACCTGGTGCATCAGCTTCGTATACTATAAAGAAAATTAGAGATAAAACTCAATAAAAACCACTTTTAGCAAAAAACGGCATGCGTTTCTTGATAGTTAACATCAAATAAACAAATTAGAATAAAAATGCCCCGAAGAAAAGTAATAGAAACAATTTTACAAGACCTGGTTCATCAGCTTCGTATACTATAAAGAAAATTAGAGATAAAACTCAATAAAAACCACTTTTAGCAAAAAACGGCATGCGTTTCTTGATAATTAACATCAAATAAACAAATTAGAATAAAAATGCCCCGAAGAAAAGTAATAGAAACAATTTTACAAGACCTGGTGCATCAGCTTCGTATACTATAAAGAAAATTAGAGATAAAACTCAATAAAAACCACTTTTAGCAAAAAACGGCATGCGTTTCTTGATAATTAACATCAAATAAACAAATTAGAATAAAAAATGCCACGAAGAAAAGTAATAGAAACAATTTTACAAGACCTGGTGCATCAGCTTCGTATACTATAAAGAAAATTAGAGATAAAACTCAATAAAACCACTTTTAGCAAAAAACGGCATGCGTTTCTTGATAATTAACATCAAATAAACAAATTAGAATAAAAATGCCCCGAAGAAAAGTAATAGAAACAATTTTACAAGACCTGGTGCATCAGCTTCGTATACTATAAAGAAAATTAGAGATAAAACTCAATAAAACCACTTTTTAGCAAAAACGGCATGCGTTTCTTGATAATTAACATCAAATAAACAAATTAGAATAAAATGCCCCGAAGAAAAGTAATAGAAACAATTTTACAAGACCTGGTGCATCAGCTTCGTATACTATAAAGAAAATTAGAGATAAAACTCAATAAAAACCACTTTTTAGCAAAAACGGCATGCGTTTCTTGATAATTAACATCAAATAAACAAATTAGAATAAAAATGCCCCGAAGAAAAGTAATAGAAACAATTTTACAAGACCTGGTGCATCAGCTTCGTATACTATAAAGAAAATTAGAGATAAAACTCAATAAAAACCACTTTTAGCAAAAAAACGGCATGCGTTTCTTGATAATTAACATCAAATAAACAAATTAGAATAAAAATGCCACGAAGAAAAGTAATAGAAACAATTTTACAAGACCTGGTGCATCAGCTTCTGTATACTATAAAGAAAATTAGAGATAAAACTCAATAAAACCACTTTTAGCAAAAAACGGCATGCGTTTCTTGATAATTAACATCAAATAAACAAATTAGAATAAAAATGCCCCGAAGAAAAGTAATAGAAACAATTTTACAAGACCTGGTGCATCAGCTTCGTATACTATAAAGAAAATTAGAGATAAAACTCAATAAAAACCACTTTTAGCAAAAAACGGCATGCGTTTCTTGATAATTAACATCAAATAAACAAATGAGAATAAAAATGCCATGAAGTAAATTAATAATAATTGCTTCAACCTGAAAGGTACCATCATGGTACTCTCCACAGAGACCGAGTCCCCACCAGCGGCGCTTGTTTATTTAAGTCGATTAATTATGAATTATGACCAGCATTTTTTAGGGCCGAGAAAATTACCAGAAAGAAGAGATTGATAATAAGGTGGTACCTACGGTAGGCAGCGGAGAAACAACGAGCCTGTTCTAGATCAGCATTCTTTGTTGGGACGTACCTATAATGAAATTAAAAAAAAAACTAGAAAGCAAAATAATATATAGTTCGAGAATGATTGGCTAGATTTTAGTTAAAATGTTAATTTTAAAAAGTCAAAAAAAATCTAAAGCCTGTTCTACACGTAAAGTTTTAACGGCTCTTTCTTGTTGTTGCGGCTTAAACCAAATTTTCATGATTTATCAATATGCTTTATTCATTAGTTTAATAAACTTTTTGCTTTTTTTTTCAGAAAATCTTCGGTGTTTTTGCAACCTACCACGATGCGTAGCTACAGGGTACCTTTGCAAGTCAGACATGGGCGGCTGTTTCTCCAATTTTGTTGACTTCAAGAAGTCAGCAGGTCATCATGGATGCATAGAGTTTCTCACTGCGTAAGTATCAAATAAAATATCTATACAGGCAAAAATCGTGAATTTCTAAAATTTTCTCGATTTATTTTTGTTATTTAAATTTATTTAAGCCCATATTTGTTAACAGTATCTGGCTGTAGCTTTTTCTGGTGCATTCAAAACATTCTAAACTAATAATTCCTGGTAGAATAACGAGACCCAGGTCGATATGTTGAGGAAGAAAATCAAGAAAACTGCAGGCAGTAAATGCCAGCGGCATGAAGCGGTCATAAAATATCGTATATTATTAATAAACTGCGTGCATTCAACGGTAAGCGTTAAGTTGACACGGCAACGCTTAACGAGTTCGGAATGTTAATAAGCGAAAAAACGACGACAGTAAATAAGAATTGACAGGTGAATGTGAATCGCTCTTCGAAAAAGATATTCAGTCCTGTTAAATCCTCCAAAGAATTATTTTTTTCAGTAAAATTATTTTTGGCAAAAAAATTGTAAGCGATGTATGTCTCTGTATAAATACGACAAATTCAACTCTCATAATGGTGTCCCAGGCTGAGCGTTCATGAAGTTTCTTGAGAACTACAATATCTAGATCGGAGATTTTTTGCCACATTACTGTTTCACAACGAGATCTATCCAATGCCGTGTCTAATAGAACAGCCATGGGGCGAGATTTATGACGTCACGCTAGTTAGATACTACGGATTAATAAATATGTTGTAGAATACATGGAAAACATAATTATTCCTCAGATTTTTGGTTTGTATTTTAAAAATGATATAGTTTACATGAAGTATACATAATATACAGTTAATAACTACAACATATATACCTATTTATAGTAATAAATACTTTGGCAAATAATCTATGAACCATACAAATGCAGCAAATGTTTTACAATATACAAATAATGTATTAGATAAGATATTGGGTAAAATGTAAATATATTTTAAATTTTGGGCTTTGAAAATCGATCTAATTTAACAAAAAAACATTCAATATCTACTAATAGTGATGTATTATTATTTGCCTTCACAGAATTTATATGTATATTTTGCAAGTATCAATGTTCGAAAAATTATATTTACAAATAATACAATATCATCTAAAAAAAGGCGTCAGCGATGGCTATGAAATGAAGATCGCTTGCATTTTATATGTAAAATTATTCTAAAATTTTTGATTTTCTTGGGATTTTTAGGTTCGGGAAAAACGCTGATTTAAGTTTTCATTTGGGTTTTCATTATTTTTATTTGGTTTAAAAAAACGTTTTGGCTAACTATAGCCAAAATCATCAGTGTTGTGTCATATGAAAAAAAATAGTGTCGAATATAATCCAAAAAATTACATATAAAATATTCACACCACATAATGCTTACTGCAATTAATAAACTAATATAAACTTATCAAAAGATGACCACATATTTTTTAGAATTATTATTCTTAACACTAAAACTATCTACATTGACTATGGAGTACGCAGTAAACCTTATGTGGTGCGTGGTGTGAATATTTTATATGTAATTTTTTGGATTATATTCGACACTATTTTTTTCATATGAAACAACACTGATGAAGGCTATAATGTTAGCCAAAACGTTTTTTTTTAAACCAAATAAAAATAATGAAAAACCAAATGAAAACTTAATCGGCGTTTTTCCCGAACCTAAATCCCAAGAAAATGAAAAAATTTAGAATATTTAGAAACAAGGTTCAAGAATATCAAATTTTCCAAGATTGTAAAATTCTAGTTAATTATTTTATGTGTACAATTATTTAGGGAATGTCATCGATGTTCATTTCCAAGCCAACTAGACGCCGATTTTTTTCGATGATACGGTATAATTCTTACATAAAATATAAATAACATTCGACCAATTAAAACAAAGAAATATGAATTTCTTAGTATTTTTAGTAACACCTTTATTCTTAAAACTTAATTTTGTATTGCAAATATACCAATTTTATTGTTATTTTATTCATATTGTATTCAGCCATCACTTAAATATTTGATATTAATTTGGTATTATAAATAATCAACACTATTCAGTAAAAATTACTGAACAAATATATGTTATGCTTTACATACATTAATTATCAAACAAAAACACATTCTTCTTTTAAACTTTATCATTCTTGTCTTTACAAAAATCTTTTTTAATTTTGAACTCAAAATAATAATCTTTTTCATGATCTTTAATACACATATTCTTTATTTTTCCCTAGATCATAATACCTACTTACGTGTTTGAATCTATCGAAGTTGAACCAACAACACTTGGAGTGGAGATTCCACAATAAGAATAAAATTAACATAATTGTTCAGTTTTCTTTAATACCATCCTGGGAGAATATTATTTTTAAATTTATTAAAGATATTTTCAATAGAATTGTCTTGATTTATAACTCGTACCCACTTTTCTTGCTCTTCCGGATACTTTAAGCTGCCTAGTATAACTATCCTTTCCACCAGGAACACAACAAAGATGAGGCATAGCACCAAAAACACACTCCACTTAAGCTTTATTGATATTATAAGCACACACAAAAATCACGATAAATAAAAAATTTATGGGCACTTTTAGGTTAAAGCACTTAATAAAACGTGTAATATTTCGTGTTTTTTTATGAGAAACAGAGTGACCATCATAGTGACCATATATCTGGTAGTACTTTATGTCACTTAAACACCAAAATAATTAGTTTTTTTGCATTACAATAACAAATAATACCAAAAATCAACCGACAAAATATGAATACAGAATCTAACTCAATACTCAATATCTAAGTATGTACAGCTGATGAAGTAAACAAAAGTCCGCCCGTAGGCTGATCTTTTATAGAGGGCTATAAATAGAGGGCATTGATCTATCGATTAAAATTATTTTCAATATGGCGGCACTTCCGGATATAGCGGAAGTTAACAGCAACTTTCTCATTTTAAATGGGTTGTCAAACTGCCTGTCAAAAAAATCCGTATAGCCTAAACGATAAATTTAGCGATTGCCACAGCTACTGTGGCGTAAAGAGAAAACACGTGGCTATCTATTTCAAAAATTAAATTGTTCGAATGTCATATAACATTGGCCGTAGCTGTCATGAAATTGAGCGATTCAAAAATTATCATAAATATTTTTTTTAAATGGAACCACTTTTTTATTTCACCAGTGAAAAGGTTTTTCAATTCATTACTTTTTCATTATACATGTTTCTATACCTAAAATAAATCGTTTTTAAGTTGTTTAAGATTTAGTTTGAAAGCGTAATTTTTTCTAGCTTTAAAAACTCGTAATACAAAAGTAAAGTGTCAAAACGAATGACACAGAGCTTCCACCTGAATCAATTTTCTGCATTATTTTTATGGGTATTTCTAATCGATTTGCATACAAGTAAATGACGCATAATAGAGTCTAGACTGTCCTCTAGGTACGCCCGTCTATATGATTAAAAATTCGAACAGTAGTGGGAAATGTGAGCGTCATCAGAGGGTGGTCGCTTGCCGATGGAATAGTAAAATATGTAAAAACGCATATATTGTGTGACCATGGACGTCCTTACAAATGTGTTCTGCTCGATTATATTCGCATTGTTTATTGTATTTCGGCGCCTGGTTTTTTTATTAGGCGCCACATCCTTTATTATGATCCGTTTCGTGCATATTAATAGGCGCGCCTTTTTTATTCTCGGCTATGTGCTGTAACAAATGGTAGGGGAACGTCGTCTTATATCGGACCCTTCTATATGAATTTTTAAAATAGCTCAACCTAAGACGTTTATGGATGTAAAGCACCAGATGGCGGGGCGTACTTCACAGTCTTTTACTAGAGAAAAATATTTTTTGTTACTCTGAATTTTGGAGCGGCCAATAAAAACAGAGAAAATAAAAATCGATAATTTTTGGACTGAGCCAATTGGTTACTAATCGACCAGATACTTATTGTCTATTAGATATGCTATGAAAGCTGGTAATTATACAATTCGACCATTGTAAATACCCGACAAATTCCGCAAGGCCGACGAGGTCGATGTTTTTCACTGATAAGAAAAAAAAATGTTTGTTTAGATCATTTTCGAGATATTTTTTCTAGTAGTGGGAACTATCGAATGAATACTATCGAAACATTCGATAGTTGCAATTCATTCGAATAATTCGATAGTTAGTAAGAAAACATTCGTTGAAAACTATTCGAATAAAAATTATCGAATAGATCCGTCATCTGCCTTGAAATATTGTATTCTAGTAATTCGGCAGCAAAAACCATTCATTTATAAAATCATTCATTTATGAAATTCATTTATTCGTCAGGATCGATTATAATAAAATATTAACTGAATTTTAGTTGTCGCCCGGCGACGTAGGTTTCTTTCCGAGAAACCCGACAGCGGTCGGTGGCAATGCTATGAAAGAAGCCGGCATCTTTGATTTTTTGCCGAGTCAGATATAGATAACGACACATTATTTTTTTTATTGAGGTGCTAGTATTTACACAGAAAATACATTATGAAGGGCGCTGTTGCCATATTTTGGTATTAGTTGATATTAGCAAAGAATATTATTGTTTGGCTTTAGTTAGTTAGGGATAGTATGTCTATATATTCTGCATTTTTTTTATTAATATTCTGTTGTTACACTGCAATAATACTTGTTATTTTGGATGTAGAGGAAAATGATTTTTAATGTTTTTAAGCAAAGACTGGTTTAATAAATAATAATAACAGTAATAATTTGTTATACCTATTAACAACATAATTTAAAATTATTTAATATAAATATTTTTTTTTAAGTAGTAGCAAAATATAAACAACAAATTAGATGTCAAAATTATTTATATTAGATGCTATTTAAAAATAATATAGTCTCTAAATTTTTTGTGTGTGGCAACGTTGGTTTATTAAATAATAATAATTACAGAACTAATTTGTTATATTAACAACAAATTTTAAAATCATGAAATATAAACATTTATTAATTTTCTAAGCAAGCAGTGTAATGGAAGGAAAATATAAATAAAAAATTAGAA